TGTCGTCAAAAGAAAACCCGACAATTTAAATATAGTCTATATTTAAATTGTCGGGTTTTCTTTTGGCGACACTCATACAAGTATTTTGCAGATCAGTATAATAGGTGGGCAGATTAGTATAGTATAGGCCTGTACTATACTGATATGTATACTGATCTGTGAAATATATACCTCTAAATTAATAGGTTTAAATATTCAAATAACTGTAACACGAACATGAAAGCGTCTTTTGAGAGAGGTAAAAAATCGGATTATATTTTTTCTGATACTAAAAAAAACTCTTTTTGTCGAAGACGTTATTATTTCACCTTCGAAATCGGTAAATTTCGATTATACAGAACGTAACTTATATAACAACGTTTTAAATAATTGAAAACATATTCCGGTAAATAATTAGATTACAGCCGCAAAAGATGTGGAAAATAATCTATATGGGGAATCAAAGAATTTGGAAATTCTAACTAGTAAAAATTAAAGAACCAATTGGAGCAGGCGAATTTCCCGTAATATGATGATCGGAGTGGTAGATGATCATGAGGTAATGTACCCGAGTAGAAATTGCCCTTGTGACATAGTAATTTATCCGAGTAATTTAATCGTAATCGGGCAGAGATTTTCCCAACAGTTCAATATCTAATCAGAGGTCATATTAATTTGTCCAAATTATCGTTAATCAGAACGGTCCCGATATTTCCAAATGCTATCTAAATGTTTGGCCTAGAGTTATCTATAGTTTAAACCAAATTGATATCTGAAACAAAATTAAATGTTTGGAGGGTAGATTTAGATATTAATGTGATGGGAGAAATATAACGTCATTGATGGTACAGTTATTTCCCTAATAGGCTACTTACCCGACATCACACAGGGTGACAATCTGCTAAAAATGTATAACCGCAACTAATAAAATGCTAACCCTAACCCTATGTGAGAAATAACTTTCGCGACGAATGTAGATTTAAATATATTAAAATATGTTGGGAAAAAATAAGTAATCAGTAAATTTATAATAATTCATTTTCTTATAAATATCATGGAATTTTGGCTTATATCGTAAAAAAAATATATATAAAATTTCTTTTCAAGTCCATATTCATCATAAAAATGGTCTCTATTACTCCACTCAAAATTTTCATTTGCTTTTTTTTCTTAACATTTTTAATGGTGGAAGCCATTCCTCAGAATGCGTGTTTGAGCATTCCAGATCCATGCCAGGCTTGCATCTGTGGATGCAAGGAACATGAACCTGAAAACGAATGTACTGCTACTACCCGCTGTGCATCTTCATGTGGCCATTAATTGCCACACATTACGTCAAAATCACTTAACAAGAATCTTTACGAATCAATATTTCCCAATTAAAATTGGTGACCAATTTTATTACGTACTAGGGGGTTTAATGGTTATTTTATATTTAACAATTCTTAATAGATATGAATACTATATATATACGTACTATATTTATCTGTTATGTATTTATTTAACAAATTAATTTTGATAACTTAAAAAATAATTATTCGATTTTGAATCATTAATTTTTGTTGGTTGCATAAAATATTATTTTTTTCGGGACTAAAACAAATACAACGTTCTTATTAAAAATATGTATTTATTATTGCATTGATGTTATAAATTAATAAATTTACTAACAGATAGTATATAGTAATAAAAAATAATAATAATAAACCACATTTATTTATTGTATTCCTATCCCAGTATCGGGAACAGTGAAAAATATCGATTTGATTTTACTATCGATCGATATGACAAAAAATATCGATTTATATATTCAGAATGCAATGTCAGTATAACGTGGCCTTTTTTTTTAATTTTACCATAAATCATTTGAGTGGCATTTGATGTTCGTGTATTCTTTTTATATAAACTTCCAAAGTAATACTGTCAAACATTTCTAAGTGCATCCCACTCAGGCTATAGTAAAAAAAAAAGCAAAATGCACGCTTATAGAAGGTGAGCATTTATATATAGAACCCTTATAAGTGGGGGCAAGTCGTGCTGTATATCTAGAGAAGCTTTTATATAGCATGTATTTAGGGAGGGTGCACTTAGAGAGGTCTGATTATATAAAAAAACATGCTAACAATTAATTTTTGCAACGGTAATAAAAAATAATCATGATAATCTAAATTTTTTTTAATTTCGGTCAGTAATATCATAATTCTGGCTGCAATTGCATAATGCTATTCGACATCTAACTGTAATTCCGTAATTCTGGCTAAAAATTATGTCCAGAAAAATTTGTAAATGTATGTTGACATTTTTCACTGTCCAATGACCATGAAAGATCGTCGCAGATAGATCTCTTCTCTATGAAACTGTCTACTGCGCACTAACAAAAAAGATTTTTTGCAAAGTTTGGTGTAGGAAAAGCCCTATTTTGGGCATAATACTAACCCTAACATAAGGTTTTATTGCTTAAAAATTTTTAAAAATTCGTAATCATCTAATTGGTGGTAGCTGTGATATTTTTATTATTCGCAAAAATTTTATTTTGAAAATTGCAAATATTTGGATAGATTTGGATAATTTTTAGTCAATATTAATTTCATAATCTAGATCAAATTATCACAAAAATCAATCTTCGCCGAAAATCTGTTTTCCATTAGAACAAGATTGGCTGATATTAATTGCCAGGTAACTTATGCACTTTAAAGTACACATATAATTTTTGAAAATGTAACAAAAAAATCACACAATGACTTTACACAAATATTAATATCCATCCAAAATAATCTACTACTAAAAATATTTATTACAAGTTATATTGACTATGTAGGTTTTAAACAAGAAAAGAAAATTGAAGCATTATGTATAAAGTTTGAAGACCTAATATACTGTATACCATTTAACATGTTATTATACTGTTATAATAATAACAATAAGCTTATGCTTATACGTATTCATATATTGCTTAGTGCTATAGGACTACAGTCGATACTGTCTAATTGCATACTATCCGTCGGAGACTTTTTATCCATATAGACAATATATGCATTTAAGCCATAAAAAACTACTTTTGCGTTATTAATTAAATGTCAAAATTTTTTATGCATTTAGAGAGTATATGCAATTAGACAGTATGCAATTAGACAGTATCAACTGTACATAGTAAAGTAGTGAATTAAAGATGTACATAATAAAGGTAGCTGAATGACTTTTCATAGATACTACAGTAAAATTAACATTGCTATTAAATTTTGATGGATTTGATTGGTTAATGATCATATTTTTGATCTTCTAACCAATAAAATCGGCAACTTTATGAAAACTGGTATTTATATGGAAAATACCTAGCTACTGTATTTGGATCCAAATTTTTCCGTGTCCCTGCTGTGAAAATCTGCAACATGATCGACAAATCTAATAATAAAGAACATTTATAGGAATATAAAACATGGAACGATTTTTTTTTATAGGGTGAACTTCTGAATATAGTATACAAAAATAATACTAGACCCGTTATTGATCAAGAAATAAGTTGGATGGTGAATACTAAGCACCTAAATTAATAGGTCGGGAGTTCAATTTTAATTAGTGGAAAATAATTTAGCTGGTCAAAAAAAAAAAAGATCATATGGGCGAAAATTTTTGATGGATTGTTGTGATTACTAAAATTAAGTGGTATACATAATGATTTATATA